GTGAACTTTGAAAAATCCATTTTTGTTCATGGTTTGTGTAATTAGTCTATACAGCATGTTCCCTTACTGTTCAAGAGGTAGGGAAACACTACAGTACTTACCTCACCGTCCATTACGAGTATGATAATTTTGGAGATCGAGTCCAATGATAAGCAAAATTGGTGCCAAATAAAAAGCTCTATACTGTGAACAAGAATAGCTTCCTTCACGGCGTAACCACAACACTCCACGCCCACAAGCCCATTCATTCCATCAAAAGCTGTAAAATGAAGTGAATATTCATGAAATAGCTGATATAGATTCATACTTTCTCACATAAATTGTTAGTATTATTGCTTGGTTTTAATTTTGTTTAAATTATTGCTGTTAGACATGTATTTTTGCCTTTAGTGATGCCAGACATCGTTATGGTAAGTTTATATCACTGTCCTCACATCTTATTTTATCTATTGAGTTGGTAAAGGTTAATTACCTCACAAAGCTGAGAGAAAAATTGTATTAACCACCTTGGAAAATCGATTTGTGCGTATTACACCCATTATTATATCAGGGTAAGTAATGTTTGTTAGTCAATTATTTATTATCATTAACGTGAATCTGGAATGCAACTGTCATTTATTTTAATTTATTCACAGAAAGGTATAACTTGGAGCAATTGTGTTGTGCCAAGGTAGACATTGAAATATCTTCTTGGCTTAAATGGCTCTGGCACATCAAAGAGGGTCATCTGAAACCAAAGTTTTGAGGTACGCCATGAGAACGTAACACAGTGTATGAGAAAAATAACATGTCTTCAAGTATATTACATTTGGTTGCATAACGACCGCTTGTATATGGGAATTTGCTGTCCAAACAGTAACCAGACAGTAATTCATTTCCTCTCTTCGCATATGATTATTGGACAAGTTAATAATTGAGGGTTAAAGGCAAGTAAGAACTTGGGGATGAGAAGAAAGAATCTTTGGTATGTATCATTATTGGAAGAAAGTATCTTTGGTATGTATCATTATTAGTTTTTTTTTATTTCATACATTAAAATGGATTCACGCAAACTCAGAACAAACAATTTGTAACTCTTGTATGCTTGTATATATTTTCAAAGGTATATTTGTAAGCGTTGGCATACATAGGACTTGTATGTTGGGTAATAATAGTGTCATATATATATTGGCATTTTTTTTTAAGATTATTTAAACACTGCGTTTACTGTGCTTACCTATCAAAAGTTCGTTGTCGATTTCTGCATAGTAACTCAAAATGGTTACGTTGAAAGAATACTGTTGTAAACGAAACCTGACGCAGACGCTCACCTGCAATTGAGTCTGTATATTAATTTTTTTTTTCTCTGTGGAGCTACAGTAAATCCCTTGATTTTCGAAGACTGCCGTCTGAAGCAACAGACGATGTGCAACTGAAGAAATTCAATCGCACATTCCTCTTGATGAAAACAGTATTCTTTACAAAGTATAGAGATTTTATTACTTCTCCAAAAGTATCATAATTCTAATACTTTTGGTGGTCGTTGCGTTACCCTTCATAATATCCCCAAATCATAATTATTGTTGATAGAGAATTTTTGTAGGATTTGAATAATTACTATACTAATAAAATAAGTTAAGTTAATTTCTATTTGGAATAAGACATATGTATTGCAAATGCTAGCTCCTAGAAACCACTCAATAAGTCTCGAGGTTAACTCCCCGAAGTGGCTCCTGCATACTCATTTAATGCAGCGGAATCTCTCGTAGGGTGGTAACTCCTGTTAGCTCAGCGATAGATTAATATGCCATAAGATGTTTGGAACTATGTTGGAACATATCTTCATGAGCAGTTGCTCCAGTAAGGGCAAACTTTTCTTTTCGCAACTCAAAATACCTGTTTCATATCAGGAAGAGCATCATATCCTACATCGATGTAGCTGTCTGTTGACGATAAATCACCGTCCTGAAGTTTGACTACTGTGAGCTCTTGGCTTGCTGTGAGTGAAGAAGAGTAGAAGACGGTAATGGAAAATCAAGCTGACTTTGAAGAAATGATAAAACTTCATATATTTTAAAGTGAAAATAATGATCTACTTCAATTGCTGAGCAAAGACTGAGCATAAACAGTTGATTTAAACTCTTATGTCATTTTACTTTCGCTCAGCTAAAATATAGCTTTATTGTGTTAATATGATTATTTGAAAAAGCAAAATCAATCATTACTTAATTGCTACGTCGTTGACATACTAAGGAGAACATATGCGAATAAATATTTTTACCAGATGCTATACAAGTTAAGGGTGGTTTACACGGTCAAACGGTTCGTCGAACGCGGTTCGACAGACAAGTGTTTGAAGTGATTTTCGAACGTGTGAACGGGGTATTTGGTTATCGAACACGTTCCGTGTTCGACAACCAAATACCCTGTTCACAAATTCGAACATCACTTCAAACACTTGTCTGTCGAACCGCGTTCGACGAACCGTTTGACCGTGTAAACCCCCTCTTAGACAAGACTGCAGGTTTATTACGATACTTTTATATCAATATCAGGGTTCGCTTTTTATGTATGATAAGCGATTTTATATCATA